ATAAAACATTTATAATGCCAATTATATATTTTTTCTAAGTATAATTCTTTCACAATTATTTTATCGTACAATTCTAATCACAAATACCAAAAAATTTTTTTTCAGCGATGATATACGTTCAGCGAAAATATATTTTTATGAAAATATTATAATAAATATATTTTATGAAATATTATAAATGTGAGAAATGCGGCCGTCACACTGCAAATGCTGTGATGACGAAGCTCGTGCACTACGCACATGAAAAAAACACGACGTAATAAAAACATGGAAGACAAAGTCTCGACTTTCATTTGCCCATAAAATGGTCTCGCGTAATTTTTAACCATGATGGACCTCTGTAGAGTCTCGGGTTGTGCTCAAGGATTAAATAGATGTTATGTCACCTATTACAATTTTTCTCCTGCAGCTTTTCTTACTCGAGAGAACCTGAGATGACCCAGGCTCAATGCTCGCGGCGATCCACACTAATTAAACTCTTCGGTATTTATTTATACATTCGGATTTATACATTGCGATTGATTAATTTTTTATTTATTTCTAATCGCAATCTCGATCTTCTGCATGATCCTAATTGTTAATCAGTTTCTGATTAACAATCTGATTAACATAACTAATCTGTACTTCGCGGGTTTTCTCCATGTCTTGGTCCATTCTTGATGTGCCAACGTTTCGTGGGCCTTGCACGAAACGTTGGCACATCAAGAATGGACCAAGACATGGAGAAAACCCGCGAAGTACAGATTAGTTATGTTAATCAGATTGTTAATCAGAAAATCTTAATCTTAATTCAATTAAGAGAAAGAATTCTATTTTTGGTCAAATAGATATTGCTGCTCCTGAAGTAGAAGTCGCAATAATATATTAAGAAAAATTTCTAGCTGAAAATGAATATCTGACCATATTAATCAGAATTGTGGTTATCTCAACTAGAATTATATTAGATTCTCAATCAGAAAATTCTGATTTCTTCATTTTCAATCGGAATTCCAATTAATCTAACCAGATTCTCTATCAGAAAATCATGTCAATCAGAATTCTTTGTGATTATCCCAGATAGATTGGTCTGATATACTAGAGATCCCGGGTTCGATCCCAGGCAGAACCGAAAAATTTTCATACACTCGTAGCTCCTCTCGGAAGGCGATGGCAAACCAATAGTATACTTGCCCAGAAAACCTCCCTATCAAAAGTTGCCGTTCGGAATCAGCGTTTAAACTGTAAATCCCCATATATATGTTGTGTACGAGTGTGCGCGCAAAGGTAGGAGAGACCGGGGCTAATAGACTCATTTCTCAGTTTCGAATTTTTACAGACAAAATTAAGAGACTTATCGAAAAAATGAATTTCTACACCAGTTACTACATACATTTGACTACCTAATAATATTTTAATAATAATAAGGGGAAACTAATAACCAATATGAAAAAAATGCATTTTTCTAATGCATTCCATCTGATTCAACTAGCCCCAGGACCGGGGTAATTCGACTAAGATTATTAAAATAAAGATTATGTATGTTAATGTATTTTAAGCTACATCTTTGGTTACATATTAATAAAACTTTTATAAAAATATTTTAAACACAAACATTCGCTTCGCAAGGCAAACATACTTTTTTTTGCAAAATTTGTTCATTTCGTGCAAAAACATGTCGAATAAGCCTAGTTTTCGAGATTGGACATGAGAGAACTAAACTTATAACATTTACCACTGAGGAAAATCTCTTTAAAGGAATAAAATTTTGAGTAAGTATTATAAGAGTCGTCACTAAATGAGTCATACAGTTCCATGCTGTAGTTACTCTACTATCCCTATCCGTTCATTTTTTAAAAAACAATATACAATAATAGAGACACATAAACAAAAAAAAAATCTGTTGGACTTTATTAAGTAAGAACTACACTTACTATCTAAGTAGAAATCAATCTCAGACAATCATATACGATAGTAAAAGAAAAACTTTAAGAATAAAAATATTTACTTAGGTGTACGATTTTTTAAAATTATGATATAACTTCTATCATAGATGTATTCGCAACAAGATGTTAGCGGCAATCGCTGCTGCTCAGACACGTTTACGCATTTTTCGCGTGTTTTGTTTTTAATGTAGTCTCGATTATTCTACTTATATTCAACTGACCCTGGTCTCCCCTGAGAGAGGCGCTGAGATAGCGTATGGCATTCGAAGAAGAAAATAAATAGACTAGAATTATAAGATTCAATCAGAAAATTCTAATTGATCTATTTTCAACAAGAATTCCAACCAGACTCTCCAAGTAGAACAACAAGTTATTATGATATCAAAATGACTCCAAAATGATCATTAAAAGTCATTTTCGATTCATTTTAATGTCATTTTGATGTGACTTGCTGTTCTTGGGTTTTTTTCCATTATAAGGACATCATTATGATCTTATTTATCACTTAAAGTTTATTTTTAAATATGAAATAACGTCACGATGACATCCTATGATTCATTATGACTTAATTATGACTTAATTATTACTCTGTATTCTACCTGGATTAATCTGAAGCAATAAAAGATTTGCTTTGTTTCACGAAAACTCCAGCTACACTGAGAAAAATAGTCTGGTTGGATTAAACAGTAATTCTAGTGGAAAATGAACGAATAAAAATTTTCTGGTTAAATCTACTAGAATTCTGATTGATATAATTATTCTGGTAAAAATAAGAATCCTAATAGATATATATATATTTTCCCAGGAATATTATATATACCAGAATTTCGGCTATCTTAATTAGAATTCTAATAAATTTAATCAGAAAATTCTGATTCTCCCGTCCATTTTCAACCATGTTTTTCGGTATATTATTAGAAAAGTTAAAAATTTATACTGTCACCTACTTAAAAAGTAGTTTATTTAAAAGAGAGATTGGTAAATAGAAATATTAATCAAATTTGCTAAATATTGGATCATTTAAAAAGTATCCGCGGTTTTTTGTTCAATTTTTGAATGAAATTTTTCTTTATTGAAAATCAATTTTAATCAAGTATATATTGGCCATTATTATCTATAACCTTTTGCTATTTTTCAGGTAATTTCATTCGTGTAGAACTTTTGTGGTTTATCGGCGAAAAACTTTTTCAAGTGATTTTCGGCAGCTCTTTTGTTGGCCAATGTTTTTCCATCAAGAGAGTTCTGCAGAGATCGAAACAAATGGTAGTCAGACGGTGCAAGGTCCGGGCTATACGGTGGATGCATCAAAACTTCCCAACCAAGTTCCGTCAATTTTTGGCGCGTCATCAAAGATGTGTATGGTCTGGCGTTGTCATGATGGCAGACAACACCTTTTCTGTTAATCAATTCTGGTCGTTTTTCCTTAATCGCTTCCTGTAATCTATCCAGTTGTGAACAGTAGAGCTCTGAATTAATCGTTAGGCCATGTGGTAACACCTCATGATGGACGACTCCCTTCCAATCCCACCATACACACAGCATCATCTTATTTGCCATCAATCCAGGCTTTGAAGTCGTTTGTGGTGGTTCGCCGCGCTTATTCCATGATCTTTTACGAACAATATTCTTGTATTTCACCCATTTTTCATCGCCTATGATGATTTGCTTCAGAAATGGGTCGATTTCGTTGCGTTTTAGTAGTGTTTCGCTGATGGAAATTCGATCAATCAAATTTCTTTGCGTTAATTCATGTGGCACCCAAACATCGAGTTTCTTTGCGTAGCCAGCTTTTTTCAAATGATTCCAAACTGTCATATGGTTGATTCTTAGTGCATTGGCTATCTCCTGACAGCTCACATGCCGGTCTTGCTTGACTAGTTGTAAAATTTCATCGACTTTTTCAGTGACTGGCCGACCAGAGCGAGGTCGATCTTTGACATCAAAATTTCCAGAACGAAATCGAACAAACCACTCCTGCGTCCTGCGTTCACTTACATCCGCGTCGTAAACTTCACAAATTTGTCTGCATGTTTGTGCTGCGTTTTTGCCTTTTTTGTAGTAAAAAAGCATCACATAGCGTATTTCTTCAGAAATTTCACTCATTTTCAAACCAATATAACTTTTGACACGATTGATGAATCATCAAACTTTGTTTACAAAAAATGTAACCTAAAATGTCATCTTTCAGACGCGCGTTCGTTTGACACAATCGGATTAGTGTTGCCCGATATATGACCATCAATACTATCTAGTGACAAAAAACCGCGGATACTTTTTAAATGACCCAATAAGTAGCATGGAAGATTACGCAAGGTCTTGCGTCATCTACAATACGCGGAGTAAACTTGGTGTAAGAAGTAAGAGTAACAAATTGACCAATTATAGTCGATTATTCATCTCACATTCGACTGTGACTGATCAATTTTTTACTTCTTAAGCTTACTCCGTATATTGCAGACAATGCATTATTGTGAAAAACAATCTTTGTAAAATGTCTTGTGTTTAATTTTATTTTTTATGCTCTTTATTTAGCAAATTTGATTTGCTAAATGCAAATTTGATTACATAAAGCCGTTTTCATTACATACAAATATTAAAGACAGTAAAATATTTTTTGCACAAAGGCACCGTATACGTCAATGGCAGCCCTGGAAGGCGGGGTTCGCGGCCCCGAAGGATCGGAAAACATTCCTCAGGTCATCCAGTTCGAGAAAATAAGTGATGAAAAGGAGCCATTGAAATTTTCAGTCTGGTATCCGAATTTTCCCGAACAAAAAAATCATCAGAATGACATCAAAACACTCAAAAATGCTGATTAAAAATTACTTTTCGATCAATCACGATTCGTTTAAATATTATTTTGATGTTTATGATGTGACTCGTCGTTCTGTTTGAATTAATTCTCTCATGGATAGGATTGCATCCCATCTGTCTTTTACTTGTTGCTGCTACTACTGATGATGCTGTTGCTGTTGCTGCCGCTGCTGCCACCAACAGCAATGAATTCCATGCGCGATTTTATTGATTTTATCCACCTACATCGGCCTATATAAAAGCAGCCGCCATTGACAGTTCTCCAGGTCGTGAAAGAGCAGGTCGGGATTTGTATGCACACCCGAGTGCATATCGTCGTCGACAACGTTACGACGTAGAAAAGAAGAAAAGAGAGAAAAAGGGAAGAACTGCTCATTAGCCTGTTTATCCTGAAGGGTGTTACGTGGATGAGAGATTAAATTAATCAGGTACATCATGTCTCGCATTTCATTACGTATTATCCACCAATCTGTCAAATTCCGTTAATTAAGTTAAGCTAGTTTTGTTTCCTACGCCGTATTGATTAGAATCCCACAGTTTACATAGTCAATTTAGTTTCTGCTTTGATGCTGCAACTTGTTTCTTATTCAGTTACAACATATGTCAAGTAAAAAAACACAGAAAAGTCAAACTAATATTATAAAGATATTATTATGATCATGTTTGTCATTCACATAAGTTTTTTTTAAGTATTTAATGATGACGTCACGATGACGTCTTGTGATATCATTACAACTTTATGATGACTCCATTCCAAAGAATACATGGAAGTTAACAAAAAAAAAGCAAAATGACTTTATTTTTATTCTTAACGTTAATAAACAATCAAATTTTGTAACAAAAAAAATCATCATTTTGACTTTCATAACACCAAAATAAAATTATTTTGAGTTTCTCTTGACTTGGTGTAATTCTTGGGATCCAAGCAGAACAAGTTATTATGATATCAAAATGATGTCAAAATAACTCCAAAATGATCATTCAAAATCATTTTTTAATCATTTCCGATTCATTTTAATGTCATTTTGATGATTAGTTGTTGTTCTACTTGGATTCTATCTGGAATTTCAAGCAAAATAACATGTACTGTAACAACAAAATGACGTAAAATAAATAATCGAATCAAAAAGTAATTTTTAATAATCATTTTAAAGCTATTTTGATATCATAATAATTTTTTGATCTATTTGGGACGTTTTGCGACAATCCACCAGATTTTTAATTATAATAATAATATAAATTATTGTGTTTTGTAATTGTAAATCTCACCTGCGACACGTAGCCGCATGTAGAATCGTCCTGTCGATCGCAGTCAAGCCGACATGTCGTAATTCATCCCAGAACCGAATTCCGGAACTGGATTCGTTTGCAAGAATTTACAAAGTAAGATATTAACGATCGAGGTCGTTGTTCGCCGATCACAAAACGTACGCTGGCAAACACGTGCGATCGCGATAACCACGCGAAATTCAACCGAGTTTCACGTTACGAGTCGGTACCATCTGGTAACTTGATTCCCCTCCGTAACATTTAAGACGCCAGTTTTCGTTAATGTCAGTTTTTATCAACAAAATAAAAACATCGCTCTTGCAAATTAGAGAAATTTTCAACCGTTACGGATTTATGTTATAATTGTATAATATTTATATTTATTTCTTTACGAAACGTTTCTTTATGTTTATCGATCCTGAAGGAGAAGACGTTTGCTGCGCAATGTAATTTGTATTCAATTTGTGCCTCATTTATCGTCTTATTACAATATTCTTATTTAACTCATTTTATTCTGACTTTTAATTATAAAATATATAAGAGAACTCTTTTATAATTTCCTTTCTTCCTTTTTAATCACTTTTTATAATCTAACTGTTACTTTCTGATTAATTCTTTAGTTCAATTTTAAATTCAATAAGTTTTGATATTAAGTTCGATGAGTTTTTTTATGAATATCGGATTTTCACGAAGGGCTATTCCGATCTCTGGACTTGTCTTGATGTTACATCATAGATTTCCTCGATACGTCTTCATCCGCGCGAAGGACTTCGTTACCCTATTAACAAAATCGATATTAACTCGGTACACAGTATGCAAAATAGACGTCAATATATCTATATATATTTATTACGATATAGAATACAAGTACGCATCTGACGGCATCGAGCGTAAAATCGAATCGAGGAGCTTGTTTTTTTATTCACAGCGAATTTGATTGGACGCATTCAGTGCGCACTGATGTATGTTATACATTAAAGCCATTGTACACAAATTGATGTAAATATATGTGTTCATTATAAACACAGAAATTGGTTAAGCAGTGAAATACTCAATACATTTTATTGTGCTGTTAGGTATAAAAATATGTACTATGATTCAAAATCCATGGTGTTGAAATCACACCCTGCGTTGGTATTTATATTAATATCAACATGGTGGAAATTTTATTTAAAATACTTATGATGATCCACATATATTTTTTTAGGATGTTTAGATAGTATTGAAAAAAAATACTTTATAATTCGAAATATTTGCATTTTATTTTTACATTCAAAATAAATCAGTGTACAACGGCTTTAATATGCACCAGTGCGCACTAGTGCGTCCAATAAAAGACCAACAGGGTGTGGATTCGACACCATGGATTTTGAATCATGGTATTATATGTATAAATTCACATTATGATGGGTCGGATGTGTGTTACGTCAGCGCGATTATATTTTTGAAAAACGTGGCCGGCTTCAATTATGCATTTACATTGCACAATTCATAGTCTCTTCATTCGTCTAAACGCGCGTCGTAGTCACAGGCGCCCAGTGTCTGAAGGGGCGCTTTGTCATTTCCGTTTTGATTGCATCATTCTTTTGTTAGGTCCGCCCGATTCGAGATGGCCGCTGCATTCCCAAGCAGAAGAATAAGTCATTATGATATCAAAATGATGTCAAAATGACTCCAAAATGATTAAAAGTCATTTTTCTATTATTTCTGATTTATTTTAATATCATTTTGACATTATCGTGACTTGTTCTGCTTGATTTTCATCTCCATTACACGAATTATCCAATTTCGAAGATCATCATGATGATCTAATATCAGCCGATTAGGCTGCGGCAATAAAACGAGAAGAAGAAATGCGTCCACTCAAATTCGCCATAAGAGAGATATAGGTGTATATTTGATAATTGAAATTGTTATTGATAAATTGACATGCTTTTCCAATTTTTTAAATCCATATCTTATATTATAATACATTGATTTTTTTAATTTTAAATATTAAATTAATAATAATAATATACTTTCTGTATATATCTCTATTTATAAAATATTTTCTTTTACAAATGACAAATTTGTTTTCTCAAATTCTTTTTTTTTTAATTCATATTCTTTTATACAAAATAATCATTTTAAAATTTTACGTTAATCTATGTGTACTTTTATGTGTTAAATAAAAAAAAGTATCAAATGAGAAAAAACACAAACACACATGTGTCTCCAATTCTTTTCTCAATGTTTCTTTCGCGCATTAAACACAATTACGTTTCTGCTAACTAGCACAATGGCATTGCCACGATGGATCCTGCCGCTGCTGATCCTGGGAACCGGCGCGATCACGCTGGTTCCCGCGGCTCGGCAATTCCATGATGAGCTCCTCAGGAACAATCTGCGGAAGCAGAAAAGATCCCTGGACGAGGCGGATTCGCCAGAGTATTACAACGACCTGCACTCATTTAAGTACCATGACGGCAACAACATTCGGAAGTTCGACCGCTATTACGACGGGGACACTGAGGAAATCGAGTTCCTACCTGGTAAGGTTTCGAACAAATTTCTTTTTTAGACTCCGAGAGGAAACGAGGAAAAATAAACTTTCGATATACGTTTATAAATTTTGTATTATATCTTTGTATCGTATATCATATTGGACTTTTCTGCGTTGTATATCGTATTGAATACAATGTATGTGTTGTATGTGTACAATGTATGTGTTATAAAGTAGCTATGCAATGAAGAATTCGGTTTCGTAAAATCGATTTAAGTAATCGTTATACAGAACAATATTTCGATATTGGTATGTAACTCGGTTGAAGTAATCGTTACATTGGAACAATTGATTTGATATTGTTACTCAACTCACGATATTCTGAAAAATGAATGCTCTAGAATCGCATACATTCGTATCGTATTGAATAAGATGAGTCGCAAAATTAATACGCAATTAACATTCGATTTAAGAAGTTTTATCGTGTTTGAGCAGACAATTGCAGACAATTTGTTATGTTAGAAGAGTTTGAAGATTTTTACATTATAATCATCACACGTATTATTAACGTCCTTTTATAATTACATATAATCTGATTAATTATTAATTTAATAATTATTTCTTTAATAATAAAAGAGTGTTAGCAATATTCATAAGAATTATATGTAATATTAAAATATAATGCTTTCAGCTCAATAAAAAGAATTAAAGAAAAATTGTAAAAAAGGACATTGTTCTCGCTATTTTTTATAATGTAATACAGTAATTAAATTGTGACAAATATTTAAGTACTTATTATAGAAGATAAATACTTATTATAGAAGAGTATATGGAGTTGCTAAATACGTACCAGTTATTTTTAACTGATCCGTATTTGGCAACTCCATATCTCTCTTGTAATAAGTATTATCCTTTTTTTGTGCCTGGTTAGTTTATCTAATACTTAATATTAAATTTGTGCGTGCGCTTACACATTTTTTGATACAAAAGTTAGTTTGAAATATTTGTCACAATTTAATTCTTTAATTCTTTTATTGAGCTGAAAGTATTATATTTTAATATTACATATAATTCTTATGAATGTTGCTAACATTTTTTTATTATTAAAGAAATAATTATTAAATTAATAATTAATCAGATTATATGTAATTATAAAAGGACGTTAATAATACGTGTGATAATTATAATGTAAAAAACTTTAGGCTCTTCTAACATAATAAATTGTCTGCTCCAAACATAAAATTTCTTAAATCGAATATTAATCGCGTATTAATCTTGCGACTCACCTTATTCAATATTCGATACGAATGTATGCGATTTTAGAGCATTCATTTTTCAGAATATCGTAAATTGAGTAACAATATCGAATCAGTTGTTACAATATAATTGATTATTTCAATCAAGTTACGTACCGATATCGAAATACGTTGTTCTGTATGACGATTACTTGAATCGATTTTACGAACCGAATTCGAAACCGAGTTCGAAACCGAGTTCTTCATCGCACAACTCTATTGTAAAGAGGAAACTATAAAAGAGCATTTATGCAAGTCGCAACTGTTTAACTTATGCCATAACCGGTAAGTTTAATACAATGATTTACGTGCTTCCACTTGCCGTAAAAGTTAAATTTGAGTTAACTTTACGCTTATGGCACAAGTTACATGCATCAGGTCATTATGAACAAAAGCATTGAAATCATTGTACAAAACTTAACTGATTATGACATAAGTTAATATTTATGACATACATAAATTAATATTGCATAAATGCTCCTTAACAGTTCTGATAAAAAACAGATGAGCTTCATAAATTAAAAAAATTTATTGGTTACATCAAAATAAATTTTTTCGGAATATAAAGAGATATTCTCATACTAATATTGGCTAATTAAGCACTTATTTTGAGTATTATAATCCACACAGAACAACATATTAAAATGATATCAAAATGACTCTAAAATGATCATTAAAAGTCATTTTTCAATCATTTCCGATTCATTTTAATATCATTTAGACGTCATCGTAACTTGTTCTTCTGCTTGGGAAGTATTTTCACTAAAAATAAGTGATTAATTAGCTAGTATTAGTATTAAATTTTTATAAGAGTTGATCGATTGATTAGTTAAATTAAATTATTTTCTACGCCAATCTGAAAAAAGTGGTTTCGAAGAAAAGTGTTTAAAAATTTTGAAGAATTTTCATGATACTTGTAGCTGAAATACCAACATTGAACATTTAATCTCTCAAAAAGAACAACAAAGTCACGACTTATTGTTCTACTTGGGCTCCTATTCCTAAACTATAAAGTGCCTTCCTCTTCCTCGAAAAGGTCTTGTTAAATTGTTTTCCCAAAGTTAATTTCTTTGATCTGTTACAGTAAGTAGTTTCCCTCTTAATTAGCAATTATTTTTATCATGGTTTCAGACAATGGTCAGTTGGAAACAGTGGGGGAGGGTCTCCAGGGCATGAACAACAAGCTACTCGAAAGAGCACTGCTCGATTATCTAGAGACTCTACCTGAGCAGGTGAACTAATCAATTCGTTAATGCTGAGTGTCACCTTCGGATAAATTATGTAATTTAGTTAATGGAATAAAAAAGCGAGAGAAAGAGAGAGAGAGAGAGAGAGAGAGAGAGAGAGAGAGAGAGAGAATAAAAGTGCGAGCTGTAAATTGAGATTTATCGATAATCCAATCTCAATGAAAAAGATAAACAATAATAGAGATAATCATTCCGTTTTTTAATCAAAACAGATTAATTTCTAAGATTAAATATAAATTTGATATTAATTTTAACTCGACCTGCAGAAAATATTTTGCTTGCTTGCAGAAAATGCGACAAAACAAAGATTAGCAGTATATGTAATAAGTTTTTTTTATCTAAATACTTATAGTTTTTATTATAAATTTGTATATAATTAGTAAATAAATAATAAATATATATGATGAAGTTATATAATTTATAGATATTTATAGATATTTATAGATATTTATAGATATTTATAGATATTTAGACACTAAATTACATAATTATATATGTATAGAGGAAAGGCCCCTATTATGAGATTCCGAGTTCATTTTGGATAAATGCTAGAAATCTATGGGCAGAATTAAAAAAAATAATAGGTCATTTGGAAGGAAATTTAATAAGCTATAAGATAATGTTATATAAAATTTTTAATTCAAATTTCATTTTTTTTTCTTAATTAAAGAATTGTAAAAAGTGAGCAAATCGCAAATTAAAAAATTATGCTCCTAATGAGATACCCCGAGAAATCGATAGTAAAATGCAAAGTATATCGGTATTGCAATTAAAAAACTTTATTAAATGTTTCTAAAATACAAACACAGCCAGCGTGCGCAAAAAATGAACATGCGATAGATTATACCCAGAACTCATCTTCAGGTAGTTCGCAGAATCAAGTATCGCAGAAATAGGCACTCGATGTTCATTCCGATTCTTCTTTTTATTATTGTAATAACATTTATACTTTAGCAACGATTTTCACTATGACATAGGAGCATGGATTATTTCATATTAGAAATATCCTGGGTATCTCATATCATATATGACTTCCACACCTTACGGTTTTACGATCATCAAATGTAACTTCTGCAATTAAACAATTCAACATATCCCATATTTTTCTATTAATATGACCTTACTCTATCACTACATGAAGAATTTATTGTCAAATATTTATTTATTAAACAATAAACAAGCTTTAAAAGCTCATCTTAATGAAACTTGAAGACATCCAAATTCTAAAATCTTTTTTTACAATGACTATAGGCATGGTTTAATAATGAACTTTCTATTAAACAGTTTTCAATTCAAAAGCAATAAATTCATGGTGGAACCAATATATAGCGTTTATTAGTTTAGCAGAAACGCCGTTATCTCATATTAGGCGCCTGTCTCATAATAGGGAGCTTTCCTCTATGTTTATATTAGGTGTTGGAATTAATTCGTAGCGTTTTACAAGTGATGGGAAGTACTTTCATTAATGTATTTTTTAATGCTCATGTGAAATAAATAACATTCTTTCATTAAAAAACGCTACGAATTAATTCCAACACCTAATATTAAATAACATAAACGTAATAATTTCGTATTGAAATCATAATAAAATCTATGAAAAAAAATCAAAATTGATTGAAGTCTCTTCCACTAAAAAAAGAGAGGAAGCTTCATTTTGCTGATTGTAACATTCATTCCTTCTACATAAAAATCGAAAGCAAAAACTTTTTAAACAATCAAAATTGAACGAGGTGCCATAGAGATCTCCAATAAATAGTATCGAGCATTGCGATGATAATTGCTTACAGGAAGAACCGGTGGCCTCGATTTTCCGCGAGCGCGAGCGAAGCGGTAGCCGTAAACGGGGTGGCGCCGGCGAACGGATGAACCTGGACGACAAGGATCCGACAAAGCTATTCGTGGAGGAACTGCAGGACGGTTCTCCGTACGGTGCGCTCGTGGAAGTGGATGACGACGATTATCTAACCGCTTTACAATCGCTTTATGACAGATACAGAGCTGGTAGAGGGAACAAAGTATACGAGTAAGTATACGAGTTTGATCCTTTAATTCCTTTGACCTTTGCCATTAAAGATCACAACCATAATGTAAAGAGCGAGCTTGAGAATTCTATCGATTTATGCATATATTAATGATATAAATTGTAGATAAGTTGATTTAAGCTCGATGGTGCGTTGGAATATTCATTTAATACCGATCTTCAAATTTACTATACGCGATCATATCTCTTGGGTCAATTTAATTAAATAGCTCTAAAATATAAAAAAATAAAATTTTTTCATAAAAAAGATTTTACGATAACAAACAAAGTCGTCAAATATCAGAGAAAAAAAATATTAGAAGAAAATAACACATTTTGAGTCAAATAGAAAAGAAAGACTAGGATTAATAACAGATACCCAACAACACAAAATCCAAAATCGGGACTAAAAATCATGTCACGATTTCATGTTGTATGAGTAATTTAAAGGAAGATTCCCAGTAAGCAAGAAACATATTGGAACATTCCAGCAACTGTTGCTTATTTATATCACTGAAATATTTTTTTCTCTAATAAAATATAATGAATTTTTGTATAATATAATATTTTTCGTATAATATATTAGGTGTTGGAATTAATTCGTAGCGTTTTACAAGTGATGGGAAGTACTTTCATTAATGTATTTTTTAATGCTCATGTGAAATAAATAACATTCTTTCATTAAAAAACGCTACGAATTAATTCTAACACCTAATACAATAATATCATTTTTGTCCTGAAAATGGACATGCGGATGATTATTAATGGGGTGAAAAAAGGGACTTAAGAACATAACGTTTTCTTGATAGAACGACAGGACCAATGTCTTGGGGCGAGCTGCTTAGCAAAGGCCCGTTGCTGAGAAGCCAGACGAAGGACGGCAACGACGACGAATTTGTGGATCGCGATCAGGATCAGGACATACTGTACTTGCCGGCGGAACGTAGAAACGTAAATGGTCCTCCATTTCCCCGTTTCGGTCATGAATTCGGCAGTTATCGCAAACTGACCAAACGCTATCCGGTCGCTAAGAGAAGCCCCAAGCCGACTCAAACCAGATTAAAATCCACGGATCCCAAGGTAACGCAAACAATACCGCGCCGCTGTTTGAAAATAATGGGATAATTGCTCAGTCATCTGCTATCAATCAAATTTCGTATTGATTTCGCGGAAGCTTTTTACGAAATTACAAAGAATCGAACGATGTCGACGTGGACATACACATGGAAAGAACGATTTTGCAGAAGTATCTAAAAATTCAGCCAGATACAAATCACAATAAATAATTTTGTTGAACCGTCAAAATAATTAAAAATTTAGCTAGGTACAGATCTAGATACAAAATATTTATGTAAAATGCTCAAGTATAATGAACAATGCTGCAAAAAGTTTTCATATTCAAACAACCAGCTTGATCCTCCATTCTTGTTTCAAGGTTGCTCAAGACCTGGGAGCTCTATTCGGCACGCAATTCACGGACTCGCACAATCACACTCATAAATCCGATCACGATCACGACCACGATCACGAACGCAAGCAGGAATTTAACCAGAGTCACGATCACGAATATAAGCACGAACCCAATCAGAATCACGATCACGAACACGAACACGGTAGCCACGAAGGCAAGTCAGAAGCGCCGTTGAAAATGATGCCGGCTCCGAAGGGTCAAAAGGAAAACGTTACGAAGACGGCCAAATCGAAATTCGTTCAGGTGAGGAAGAAGAGTGTCGACTGGTCGCAATATTTCGGCATCGATCGAAGAAAGAAGAAGGCCACCTTCACGGCCGGACAGGGCACGCAGAATCAGGACGACGAGTGGATGCTGCAACGCTACTATGAGGTAGATCACAATTGTTAAAATTTTCTTGTTGGATATATTACAGTGGCGGCGATAAAAGGAAATAGATATTTATCATTCATCTGCTATTTATATTAATAAATAATATAACTTTAACTAATAATATAACTTTGACTATAAGTATAAAGCATCAATTTATTGTATTTTCTCGGAAAAGACGATAATAAAATTCTAAAGAAAACTAGCAAAATGTTAAAACTGTTATAAAAACAAACAGTAATTTTTAATAAATCTATTTTTTTGTTAAAACATTTATGTTGATTTTTGAAAATGTTTTATACTTTAACAGAATATGGCTGAAAATTTGAAGTCAAAGGACGACGAGAATGAGCGGAAGGATAAACTTGAGCAGATGGACTCTAAATTGAAATATATTAAGGATCTAATTATTGAAGAAGCTATGAGGTACGCCGCTTCGGAAGATGAAGCAGATTTGCAAAAGGTAATTTTTCTACTGGCACTTCTGCATATAAACTTCATTCATTTATAACTAAAATTATTTCAAAATACTATACAACTAAAATTTTCGGAAAATATAATTTTCTTAAACTATCCAATTTTTAATTTCTATTTCGTTGATTAAAAAATATTTAAAAAAATTAAACGTGGTTAGAAATTCATTATTGAAGAGATAAAAATGTAATTTGTAAAAATGTTATGTGACAGGTGAAGGATAAGTTAATGTCGCGAATGGCAGCGGCTTATTCGTTGCAAAAGATGCGAAAAGCACTGAGCGAGCTTCGAAATAATGTCGCAGTTCAAAAGGAGGCACAGAGGATGCAGAAAGAGGCGCACAGTAATTTTACGTCTAATTTTCGGGAAAATAGCAACAGCAACACTAATCCAAATACTAACAGCGGCACCGACAGTAAAACCAATGAGAAACGAAACAATATCAACAACAATTTAGAGGAAAGCGAGTGTGAGTATATTCAGAAGAGATTTAGGAATCATGAAAAAAATTACAAAAATTATGCAGACTACCTAGATTCTCCAGAATTTGTGAATCAGCATTTATTGAATTTCTTAATAAAAATGTATATATTTTTTATTAATTAGGTTTCTAAATCAGAGTTTTCCTAATTTAGCTTTATAATTAATTCGAATGCATAATTTCTTCCATATAATTTTTAGGTTTTCTATAATCTTAATTTTATTTGGAGATTTTATTGAAGATTATTGATTTCAAATTAAAGAGAGATTCTATAGCTTTGTTTAATAAACAAAATAAAATAAAATCCACTTGAAGTTAAATCAAAAGTAACATTTTATTATTCTTAGAATTAATTTTCATTTAACTTTTAAATAAAATCTTGTCGGTTTCTTATTTTTGTTCAGGAAAAGATTGGTCTCAAAGAATTTATAAACCAGAAATAGCTCAATAAATCTGTGATAATCTATACAAATCTAATAAATCAAATTAAATATACACACACACACACACACACACACACACACACACACACACACACACACATACATATAAAATGCAGATATAATATAATTGTTTGAATTATACAGTCATCGAGGAACCTAGAAGTTGCCCGGAATTAGAAGCTATCGAGTGGCGATGCCGAACCGTAGATAATTTGGCCGGCGACACGTCTCGGATGCTCTACGTGCCCTGTGTGAAACTGCAGATCTGCAAAGCTTGCGTAAGTTACACAGACCCTTATTTTTATATTACAGATATTTTTGATAATTTACAACTTAAAGAACGTTATAGAAAAATTCTGAAAAATTTTAAAATGTAGAAATTCTGAAAAATTATATACAAAACACTAAGAAAAATTTTCACCAGAGAACTCTTAAGATAGGTCCAAGATTTAAAGAACACTTCGTTCTAATTCCCTATTCTACGAAAAGGCTACAGCAAACTAATTTTTACCCAGACGCAGGACGAGGAGGGGCTATTACCCTGTCTCGCCAATTTCGCCCTGGAGGCCGGCAAGGTGTGCGACGCGTTGGAGTCCAGAGACGAGCAGCCGCGGATGACGGCGATGCACGAAGGCGAGAGGCAATCGTGCGCAAACACTGCGTTGCTGTTGTCACAGCTACATCCGCCCGGAGCGGCGACTACGCAGTGTCGCGAGCGGAATGTCCGTGACTCGTGTTTGCGGCGATATCACGCACGATACGAACACCGATACTTCCGCACGTCGCCGGCGTACGAGGGCACCGGGCATCGCTCCCATCATGAAGGCGCTCTCGACGCGTTGCAGCAAACCATGTACGAACGCTAAGGATCAGTCGAGCGAGAGGAAGCCACCCCGGTTCGGCCGCGCGATACGGTGAACCGCCAGTTGTCCGGATTAACCGGGTATCACCTAAGTACTGAGTCCCTCTGATGATCCGATTGAATGTGAACAGATTTTTAATTTATGTCGAAGCTCTGTTGTTGTTGCTTACATTTGTTATTTTGTTCAATCACTTTTGGCCTACGTTTCTTTTCTACTTAGAAGCTTTGTCCGGATAATCGGCGGTTTACTATTATTAACCTTACCCTTTGAGGACCGGAGCTTTCTGATAAAATAACTTATGGAAAATTTTGTTTTCTAAGTGTTTTTGGAGTCACTGAATTCGATTCTGACTTCAGAATTATAAAATTCAAATTCCAAAAAATAGTCCGATTATCGTGAAATTCGGTTTTAGAAGAATTAAGTACCTTTGAGTTTGAATATAGCCTGAAAATATCGAAAAAAAATAATAGTCTCCGTAAATGAAGATCTAATATCATAAGGTTCTCATAATCAAAATTTGAAAGTCAGTTTAGAAATCAGTATTGTTTGTGTAGCACTGATAAGCTTGAAATAAAGCAAAATTGAAAACTTGATCTTATACTTCACACTTAAAAACTCCTTAAGAGTTTTATGACGATCAAATTATTTTTTTAAGTTCCGCTATATTAAATCCACCATTTTTTTGGAATTTTTTATTTTTGACGTCAGATTCGAATAAAACAAATTATTTCATAACTTCATAAGTTAAGCTTCATAAAGATCGAGAGCAAGCAGTTTATAAAATAAAAAGAGGTGACTTCAAATGGGATCGCCGGTCCACAAAGAGTTAAAGAATCTTCCGTCGTAATGAAGCATGAATCAAGATTAATCCTCACAAAGTATCATACAATCCATACAGCATAGATTTCCAAGGAATGTACAGGATCATAAAATTATCTGATATCCAAAAAGAATGACACTGGATGTCCTATAACTGGTATCGAATATCTGTATAATACAATTCCCAAAAATTCTAAAAAGAAAGGAAAGCAAGGAAAAAAATGATTAAACTTCTTGCATCTTTCTCTTTTTTCTTTTCACATTGGGAAGACATTTGGAAAGAAAATTAATATTTTTCTTTTGCTTTCCTCTTTCTTTAGAATTTGCATCAAATATCCGGAAAAATATCCGGTTATCTGGCCGGGTAAATACAGATATCCGATGTCACGTTCTTTTCGGATGCCTCATATCCGGTAATTTTATGGTGCATCCCTTGTTTTATTCATGAAGATTCGTATGGTACGTTGAGGATTAAGCGATGTACGAAGAGTCATTCTCGAATCGAATTAAAATGGATCAGAATGATCGACAGAGACGTATTAATTTTCTCAGAATGGAAAAAGTAGTACGCAGAAAAAACAATAATTTTGCAAATGTACTAGGAAAAAAGACAGTAGTAACTATAAAGATGACAGATATAAGTTTTATGTGTAGAATTAATGTACATGATAATTAAACTATTTTATAATTATTGCAGCTATTAATAGTTTATTTAATTATGTACATGTCAGTATATTCAACTATATACACTGATTCTATTTATTTAACTTATTTGTGCAATTGTCACAGTTGCTATTATGTTTCTTTTCTGAATGGAGTTTCCGTTTCTTTTCGATTCGAGATTTCAAAAATACGGTGGTATGTGAAACAGCATTTTTTGCATATGATGCGTATAAATTCCTCGTCAGAGCGAGATTTCAAAATCCTGAATTAAAAAAAAAATTATAAAAAATTATAAGAAAAAGAAGATGATGTGTAATTAGCAAATTGATGCATTTTATTTGTTAAAAAAAACAAGCTTATGAAGGATTAAAAGGAGAGAATAGATATGTCTATAATTAAGGGAATAAGATGTTTTATCTATTTGCGAGGTGTGCTATCCCAAGCTGAACAATAAGTCATCATGACATCAAAATGATGTCAAAACGATCATTAAAAAAATCATTTTTCAATCATTTACGATTTATTTTAATATTATTTTAACATTATCGTGACTTATCGTTGTGCTTGGGATTCGTCTGGACGACTTTCTGAAAATACGTCCACTTTTTCTCTCCTACATTGAACTGAACAACGATTAACGAGTTATAAAGACAATAATAATGACATCCCTGACAGAGATTTTATTCGCACGACGACTGATCGTAACGAAAATCGAACTTCGCGAACGTTCGCCACAGAAAAGGATCGCAAAATTTCATCGAACGAGAGTTTGGACGAACGCCTCGCAAATGAAAGTTGAAAGGACAGGATCCGATGACCGTAAAAAAAATATATGTGTAAACTATTGTGTTAAGTATCCCAAAAAGAAAAAAAAGATATCGTAACAAGAGCATATGTCTCCCTTTAGCGTATTAATTCTCCGTGTTCGCGCCAATCAGAATTACATTAGCGCGATTATTCGCGTTTAATTTCTCGCAGACAGTAGTTACACGCGGAATCGCCAACGCGTTTTTCAACGCCGGGAGACGTGACGAAAGAAAGAAGAATATAAAGATAGAGAAAAAAGAAAGGATACTTGACGCGGCTTCCAAAGAGTCTATCTTCGTAAATCTATATCTATTATTACTGTCTACTATATCAAATATTTACGTTACACGGCGTTATACGCATATCGATGTGTCAGTCGATGTGTCAGTATATTCGAAATATAATAAATACATTTCAACATAAATGCGTTTTGCAGCTCAATGCCTCAACATGAATCTTGTATACACTCATAATTTTGCAATATACAGTTTTGGCTAAAAATATTAGGGATATCTTATTGATATAAAATTTTAACTTAAAAATTGATTTATTTATATTTGCTATACATTGTCCTTCGTTTCAAAAATTCTTTATAAATTTATGTATAATGTTGGTAATCAATAGATAAAAATAAAGGTAAAAGAAATATAGATGAATGTAAAAAATATAAATTCTAATTTTGGCCAAAACTGCACATACACACACAGTTGGAAAATTTGTGTTAAATATAACATCTCAATCATCAGTCCATTCAAATTTTTGTGTTAATTTAATTTGAGATGAGTATTAAGAGATGAGTATTAGAACATAAATATTATGCAAAAAATTAACAGAAAAAATACAACACTGGCACAATTTGTTAAATTGTGATAGCATATTTCTTCAGTAAAATAAATTGAGAATTATATATTTATAATATATTAAATTAAATGATCACATTTTATTCATTTTACTTAGAATTTAAATTTTAAAATACATTACTTTTATGTTATTTGTTTACTTACTCTCTTATAAATTACATTATTTTATAAAAGAAATACTGAATATCAATTTAATACAAAATTCCTATTATACAAGTATTAAATTATTATCACTCGACATGTTAAAAATTCAATAAAAATTTTAACAAGAACCGATTTAATACAAAAACAATATTCTTTGCCGCATACCTGGTTATCGCGCGATTCGATACCATCGCCGTCATTCGGCGGATCGACGGAATCCGCATCGACGGATGCAGAAATGTCCTGCAGCTCTTCTAGTATCTGTAACAATTGCGGCTTGTAGAGCTTCAGATACTCCAACTGTAGCTTTGCGCAATCAACTGCAATAAGTAGTCGTATTGTTTATTTTGAACATCGATATTCTTAATTATACTTTTCCGAACAGAATTTTTGGAGATTTTTGAAGAGCACTCACTCGCTAACTTCGACGCCTGTTCGTATCTGATTTTTAACTCCATCTGCGCTTCGTTGAGTTGGCGGATCATTTCCTCGTAAGACATCGGCATAACAGTCGATGGAGTCGACTGACCCTAATTAATAATATATTAAATTAACTTTAACTAATTTTATTTATTCATATTAAAATTTAAGTCACAAAATACATTATTTTTATATCATAATATTATTTATTTACTTACTCATAAATTGTTATTTCAATATTTAAAAAAAAAATTGAATATCAATTTAACACAAAATAATTAAATAAGACATTAACATTATATTAAATTATCATCATTCGGATATTAAAAATGCAGCACAAAAATTGTAACAAAGATCGGTTTACAAATATAGGTTGTGGCGTCGCGTACTCCAACATGCTCCAATATGCTTCATAGCTCTTATGCACTCAAATGAGCTCATTAGAGTGAATAAGAATTATAGCAAGGAGCATATTATATTTTAGTGTATACCTGATCCTGATTAAGATCCATAATTAATTTGCTTTCCTGATGCAGCTAATGCGAAGAGAAATCTCTTATCACGGAAAGAGCAACGGTTTTCGGCGTTTTCGCGAAGAATAGTTTACTTGCCACCGACAGTGTCGCCAACATAACGGCTGCGTTCAGCGGACTCAATAGTTGAGTGAGCGCTCGCTGCTATTGATGTATTCTTCCAGATCTAAAATACTGATTGGATGATCTAAAAGAACTAATAACGATGACGCGTTTAAATTACTGGTCTAAAAAAAAAACGCGTTAAATTTTGACTGGTTATTTTAGATTTTCTTTTTGACGCTTTAACTCTTTTTAACTCTTACATTTTAAACTATTATAATAATTTTCTGTTCTTATATTTATTATATCTATGACTTGACATTATATATGTTAAATACGTTATATATGTTAAAATCATGTTAACATTAATATGAATGTACTGTCTTTATATTTTATATTTATTATGATTTATTGTTTTTCGTCGATTCGACCTTTGTTAATTTAAACGTTCGTTAAACAAATTCGTCACTTCGGATGATTTAGACGGATTTCAATATTTCAAATCTACATAAAATGTACTATAAAATATGATTATTTGTGAACATTAATATATCATCCAAGGAGATATTTCATGAGGAGATTTGGCAATCGTGTGGATGAGTTACTCGTTACTTTATTGATTGATTTTAAATATCTCAATTTTATGAATTTAAACAGATTACACTACAGTTTTGACAACCTGTGAATGATTCTACCTTGACCGTTCGAAAATCTATTATGGATTAAGAAGATTGCTGATGAAGATTCTAAAGAGAATCGAAACGTTCAAGATCTCTCAAGATTTAAAATAAAGATGACATCACTTCGTGGATTAACAAATGTAAAATTTTATTGCGCACCTCCACTCTCATTAGCCCAAATTTAATTTGTTTTTTATTATTTTAAAGAGAAAATGTTAATGTTAAAATGAAAAGGAGCCTGTGGGAAATAATTTTTATTATGGCAAAAGATAAAATCAAATTCAATATATCGACGCCTGAGAAGGTCTCTATATCGAGAAAAACATAAAGAAAGATTTATGTCAAGAAATGAATGAAAAGTGGTCTATTTCGCATAAGTCATAAAGATCAGCGTATGTCGGAACGCATATTAAATACGGTTTATATTGAGAAAATGAGAAGAACGGATCAAGCCGGTTCAAGTCGTATGAAATTAAAGAAGAGATTATATAGCGCAATATATTTTGTCTCGTAAATTTTATAATGGTACGACTGAGATAAGGAATCGTCTTGATTTTCAATCCTGTTTCTCGCATTCATTTATTATTCATATAGAGGAAAAGCCCCTATTATGAGATACCGAGTTCATTTTGGGTAAATGTTAGAAGTAGAAGCTTCTAGAATTAAAAAAAATAATAGATTATTTTGAAGGGAATTTAATAAGCTTTAAGACAACGTTATATAAAATTTAATTTAAATTCCATTTTTTTTTTTAAATTAAAGTAATGTAAAAAGTGAACAAAGTCAAAAAATTGTGCTTCTATAATATGAGATGCAAGAAACGCAAAGTATATCAGTATTGCAATTAAAAAACTTTATTTAATGTTTCTAAAATACAAACAAACCCAGCCAGCGTGTGCGAAAAATAAGTATGCGATAGATTATCCAATCAGAACTCGTCTTCAGGTAATTGGAATCAAGCATCGCAGAAATAGACATTCGGCATTCATTCCGATTATCTTTTTTATTATTGTACAATAACATTTATACTTTAGCAACGATTTTCACTATGACATAAGAGATGGATTATTATATTAAATACTGTAGGTATCTCATATTATGATTTACACGCCTTATGGTTTTACAATCATCAAATCTAACTTCTGTAATTAAACAATTCAACATCCCATATTTTTCTATTAGTATGACCTTACTCTATCACTACATAAAAAATTTATTGTCAAATATTTATTTATTAAATAATAAACAAGGTTCAAAGGCTCATCTCAACGAAACTTGAAGACACCCAAATTCTAAAGTCTTGTTTTACAATGACTACAGCATGATCTAATAATGAATTTTCTATTAAATTTTCTATTAAATAGTTTTCAATCCAAGAGCAATAAATTCATGGTAGAACTAATAGATAGCTTTGATTAGTTTAGCAGAAACGCCGCTCTCATATTAGGCGCCTATCTAATAATAGGGGGCTTTCCTCTATTATTTAATTTTCTGTAACTAAATTTGTGTAATTTATGAATAGTGAATATTGCACTATATAGACCCTTCTAATTTTTTATGTGACTAGAACCGTTCTTCTTATTTTCTCGATATAAATCGTATTTCGTATGCGTTCCGACACAAACCAGTCTTTACGCGAAATAGACCCTTTTCATTCATTTCTTGACAGAAACCTTTCTGCACGTTTTTCGATGTAGCACTTTTTATTCTCTTTTTTTCTTTAATTATTTTACTGTATTTCGCTAAAATCATATTGCATTATAATTAGCGAAATACAATAAAATAATTAACAATTACATTGCATAGCTTTTTAATATTATATTTATTGTAATCCTTTAATAACAATAATTATTTACAATATACAATGTATAATAAAAAATTGTTCGAAATATAATAAGAATTATATTATAGGAGCACAATTAACAAAATTTAGTAATGAAGTATTATACGAAAATGTCGAAAATACATACGATAATACAAATTTTCTAAACCAATGTTTAATGAAATATTGATAAATGTGAAATGAAAATACTAACAACAATTAGATCGTACTTACTATTAACTTGCGATTATATTATAAAACTTATTAATATCGTGATAAAAAGTCATTAATACATTTACGACAAAACTTTCATCGCATTTAAGATAATTATCCCGATAATTTGATCAAGGTTCCTCCACGTTGTGATAAGGTTAGTATCCGATACAAAGAAGAAAAAAAATCTTCTTCATAGAAAAGCGAACTTGATGTATTCTGATTCCACGTCAAGTTCATTCGCAAAAAAAAGTTAAGCAATCCGTCAAACACCAGCGGTCTTATTACAGAAGGATGTGAATTCCAAATCTTTCAGACCACTTATGATAGAAATAATTTTGGTAGCATCTTACATTTTTAATTACATTTTTATTGCATTTTTAATATAATACCAAAATTTGCAAGGAAATTATATGTTCTGCCACACATTATTACAAATCATCTCTTAAAAATAAAAAGATAAAATGATTTCCTTATGGAATGGTGATTACGAAGGAATATATTTAATAGTAATAAAATACATGCATTATTGTAATTTTTTATATGTATGAATAC